AATTCGAATGGACCACTTTCCGAGAACAACCTGGCTTTCGAACGATGTTTGAACGATCGCAAACCTGGAATCGACCGCTTCCGCTCGAAACGTCGCCCTTCTCGCACCAGGGAGTTTTCGTAGAGCGCGTTTCCCCCTTCGCTAAGCGCTCCGCAACGAAGGAGCCGCTCCTGCGCGCCGATGGCCTTGACTGTAGACTTCCGGGTAGCGCGTTGCGGAGAGCGTTGCGGGACGCCAAAAGAATTAGCGCACTCGCCACAGATTCGCGGCTAAATTGAGTTCATGGGACAACCATATGCTCAGTCATTGAGCATATGGTTGTCCCATGAACTGTTTTCGAAGAACTCGCTACTCTAGCGGGCGGCAATAGGGAGTTTTCGTAGACCGTTCCCGCCGTCCCTCAACGCTCTCCGCCATCCGCTCCGAGATCCGGGTTTCTACAGTCAAGGCTAGCGGCGCGCAGGCGCACTGGCAGCCTCTTCGTAGCGGATACCTTAGTGGAGGAAGGAACGCGGCCTACGAAAGCTCCCTATTGTTGCGGCGGTGGACGTTCATCCGAAGTTGGTTGGTTGTCGCAGCAGACGACAGCCGGTCCCTCCGGGCCTCGCATTGGGCGCAGGAACACACTGGCAATCATGACGTGCTGTCATGTGCTTCGACGCTCTTTTTGGGTCTCGGAAGCCGTAGCCTCCACAGTTCGCCAAGTTATCCTGAAACGGAGTATGGAGAAAATGTCCTTCCATTGCAGTACTTAAATTGCGATAGTTACGAGTCGATTTGAGGCTCCGCAACAGCAACATCCTGCTTGAAGGGAGCGCATGTTTCTTCGTTTGGAAGGCCTTCGCCGTTCCGAACAGCTGCTCCGCTGGCGCGGTCGACGGTTGTGCACAACGCGCTGAACAGCTTGTTTGGGTGTAACCCGGAGACAGTCAGCCGATGCACCGCGTAGTTCATCGGTTAACAACTGACACGATTCGGTAACCTGGGTTGGTCGTGCCAAACGCCTCTCTCTCTCGCATGGAGTCGTGGCGACTGTGGTGAAATGGGCCGACTGATCTATCGTTCCCGAAACCATTTCGCAGAGGGTTTAGAAGCGCCCGGAACGTTTTCGTTCCGACTCGGATGGCCTAAGTTGACGCATCCCCGGACATTCATTTCGAGGAATATTCCAAAACACCAGAAGAACCCAAGTCATCTCGCGTTTTTACGCCAGGGAGCCGCACGGTTTCTAAGACGCCGGTAAGAAAGGAAATACGAACACCTTGTAAATGCTGGTTTAGCCATTTGCATGCACGTATCTCGCGTTCCGCTGCGACGCGTATTGATGCGCTATGTCGCGCCAGCTTGCGAACAACACTCGAAGGCTTCGGGTCCCGAACTCAACTGCAGATTTTTTCCAGTGTTTGCGATAAAAGAAAATCTACGGCAAATGGTTGTCTCGTCGTAAGATGTGAGGACGGTGACTCCCAGACAAGAGCTACAGCAAAGAAAGCAGATCATGGATTCGCTCTTTAATTGACTACGTCAGGTCAGCGAACTTGACCCAACACGCACAATCTCGTCCCACCAGCCCATCCAACCTCACATCTCCTATTATTCTCTTTTTCCTATTGATGAACGTATTCTACGACTACTATACTAGCACTCATCGTCGGTCACACTCGGAACGGAAATGTGCGAACCAGCCGTAATCCTTTCCGAACAAAAGAGCTGCAATATTTGTTTTCCCCCGATCTTAACTCCCCAAGGTGCAGGCGGACAGGCAGGCTACCCGTCTTTTCTGGTTACGAAAAGCATCGTCATCTGCTAATGCCAAAGTTAGGCACAATCATAGCCTCCTCTATACGGAGAAAGCCTGGCACATCGACGACGGAGCCATAGAGCGCGCGGCCGCAGGAAAAAGGAGAGGAGGAGCGCGCCGAACGGTGACCAATATGGTAGCGCAGAGCAGAAAGGGCAGACCTAGACAGCGAGCGCTTGGGTCATGAGCGGCCGCTCCCCGAACCACGCTTGTTTTTGTGTTTTCGTCACCGTTGTTTTCGTACTCCGGGAGAAACGGGCGCGGCGATTCGAAAGGGCGCAGGGAGAAACGGGAAAGGGTGGACGTGGAGTTTCTCCTCTCCCCGATAGCGACAAGAAAAGAGAGAGAGAAAAAAAATTGTTTCTGCGTTTGGCCGCTCGCTCTTTTGTGGCGCTAGCGGATAAGGTTCTCTCCGCTCCCGTTTCTCCGCCCCTCCTTTCCCATTTACGGCGGCCGTCTTTTCACGCGACGCGCCAGGCTTTCTCCGTATACACCAACTCAACTCTCCTACGTCACGCCGCGGTGGTGGCGCGCCGGACGCACTTCCGGTCTCGGGCGGTGGGCAGAAGTCGCCGTGCCAGACATGCATTCCTGTGTTCCCTTGGAAGAAACGAGACAAAAAACCTGCCTTCTCGTCAAAATGCTGCGATGGGGGCTTTACTAAGAGAGTCTGGGAAGGTTTGAAGATCAGTTTTCATATGTTTTTAAACCCTCCGTTCGTCCGAGAACGTGGATAGCAGCCGTGAAAAGGGCAAACCTGATGCTGTCGAACTACGATGGCGTGTGCGGGCCACAATTTGTAGTCGCCAGATGTATTTGCCTTGTTCCAACATGACCGAGAGAAAACCCCCAAGTTGTCCGGACCACCCACGGATTCAGTGCGTCTTCAAATTCACACGGCCGCCTGATCGTTCGAACTTTCGTCTGCTCTTTCAAAGTTTTCTGCTTTTTGTCGTCTGCTCGTTCAAACAAAAGCGGCCCGTAGACCAAACTTTGACCCGGTGATTGCAATAAGAAGTAATTGCAGGCCTCAAAAGACTTAAGTAGGCTCGGTGTAAACAGTCGATACAAGATGTTAATTATTGATACCGGTGGCCATCACCTACTTGTTACGCTTTGTCTGTTCCCGCTTCCGATTTTCAGTATCGACGTCAATCATCGCCGCTACCTTTTACACTTTTGCAGCACGAGCGACGTCGCGACCGAAAATAGCTACAAGAATCTCATCATGGTTTTGGCGTCCATTCTGCAGCGTTCATGCGAATGAATCGCTGCACGTCAAATTATTTACAGAAAGTTTAGCGGCGTAACGAGCCTTGATAATTTCGCTCAGGCGATTGAAGTGGTAAGACATTGCGATGAGGACGTAGAATCGACAACTCCAACGCGAAAAAGAGTATGCGGACTCACACAGACGCCGACAACGTGACATTCGAATGGTTTGTTGACGCGGGACGCGGTGCTTCTTGCCCGTACTCCATTGCGCGTGCGTTCGAACTGTCGTCTGCTCTTTCAAACTTGGCTGCTTTTTGTCGCTAGTTCGTTCAAACGACAGCGGCTCGTAAACCAAGCGTTGACCGGGTAATTGTGATAAGAACTAAGTGCAGGCCTCAAAACACTTTTGAAGGTTGGTTGGGGGTAAGTCGGCTACGTGTAAACAGATACAAGAAGTTGCTGATCATTGTTACCAGTGGCCATCACCGACTTGTAATGCCCGATTCTACTTGAGGTTTTCAGTATCGATGTCCACCATCTCAGATACGGTCCACGCTTTTGCAGTCCGAGCGACGTCGCGACTGAAATTAGCGAGCAGAATCTCGACGTGGGAGTCAGGCTTTAGCGCCCATTCTGCGGCGTCCACGTGAAATGAATCGCCGCACGTCACATTATCCACGCAAAGTTTTGCCTCGATAGTTTTGCTGAAGCCGCTCAAGTAGTCAGACATTGTTAGGAGGACGTAGAATCAACAATTCCAACGCGAAAAAGAGCACGGGGACTCCCACCGACGCCGACAACAACGCAATTCAATGGTTTGTTTATGGGCGACGGCGGGCTTCTTGCCCACCATCCACGGCGCATGCGCGGCGCCGGTGACGTCCGCTAGGGGCGCTCCGGTTTGTTTGTAAACATGAGTTGGTGTATAGAGGAGGCTATGGCACAATAAAGTTTCGGATTCTTGTCAAGGCGCTTATCCTGGTCTTTGCTCAATTCGAAACGTTTCCAAAAGGGCTATGGGGAGGTCGCATCCCACTCTTCCGTAATCCCTGCCCCCGGGTTCATTTGAAGCGTGCGAAGCGGGTAAACGAGCGATCTGTCAGTCCCTCGTGGCGGCGTGCCCTCCCTCCTCGTTGTAACCTGCCGCCCGCGGTGACAAGGCGCCGCGAATCCGGAGTTTCGGGAACCGCGGATTAGCAAAAATATTTCTCTTCACGCGGAAGCTTTTTTCCGTCAAGGACATTCACGATAAGTTCTAGAGGGCGGGCTCTACTCGCCCCATTCGGGTCGGGGGGAATGAGTGGCCGAGAAAGCAGAACCCCCTGGGTTCGATCCCCCCGCCCGTTTCGATCTGGATGAGTTCCGTACCGGCACGTTTCGTTAGATTTTCTTTTCTTTTTCTCTCTCTCTCTTTGTCCGGACAGTGTACCATGGAACGTAATTTTTCTCTTCGTTTTCTTAATGCTCACGAAGGGACGATTTCGCATTTTAGACAAAAGTAATTGCGAAAGTAGAGAGTAGTTTTCTACTAAATTACTTCCCAGTAGTAATTACTTTCTCTGCTGAATTACCAGTCTAGAAAAGTAATTACGCAACTACTCGCGGAAAAAGAAAATTTACGGTAATTTAATTACGGCACTTTCATTGCTGTCACCCCTAGTTGATGGATTCGGAAAGTCCACGAGGGGTCCGTGCTGCTTCGTCCTTTGCATCGGTGTCTACAAAGAATATGGAAGCTCATCGCGGAGGAGGGACGAGGACGGACAAGTTTAAATGTCCGTTCCCCGCCTTCGTGCTTCGCTTTGACATTCGGTCAAGACGCTCGTCCAACTGTAGGGTCCGTAGCGCACCTTGATTCCGAGTGGGAGTTGAGCGATTGTCCTCGGAAGGTTGTCCCCTTGCGATCCGTGACGGCGCACCAGTGTCGAGCCTGTCTCCTCCCTGTGTTAAGCGCGTGCGCTCATTGTACTCCGTCTCTTTGCAGGTGTCCGACGCAGGATCTGATCTCTTCTCTGGACCGGCTCATCATCCGACGAGTGAGTACAACTTGCACCTTTTCCCAACTCCCAATCCCTACGGGCTTACGTGTGCACGCTGCTAAACTCCCCACACCTTGAGACTGCGCGCGCATAGACCTTTACAAGACCTTTACCTTTATTATATATATAAAATAATAATAAACTGAATTTCCGCGTTACTTGGGAAACGAAGAGCGTCATTACCCGAGCGAGCGAGACACTTGGCGACGTACCCCAGGAGCGCAGCTTTTCCTCCGGAGAGCTGTCACGTGCCTCGCGCGCTGCTGGGAGCGGTAGCGTTGACCCTTTGCCACATTACGCCGAAGCGAGCTGTAGTTTATTTCTCTTCATAAAACTCGCAGCGTCACGTCAGTCGGCGCCGTAATAGAATGTCGCTACTTGTGAACGACATAAAGTAAGAATTTCACGCAGCTGCTTCCTCCCCACGAACCGACCGGAAGTACCAGTCGGCTCGTTGTTTTTAAGTTATTATTATTGCGCGGCTTAAAGAGTGAGAGTCAATGAATTCACGCACATGGCGCGAGAAGCGATGGAGGCATTAATTCAAGGCGAGGAGCTCTAGTCACGCTCGCCTACCATCTCCTCGGTCGGACGTGGCGAAGAGAGACAAGTAGTTCCGACCAGGTTGCTTCGCATTACCGCGGGTGGGTTAAATCGAATTCTCCCCGCGCTTTCGCTCGCGGCACGCCGAGTCTCATCTGGAAGTCAGAGAACGTGGCGACCTCTTGACTCGCTCGAAGCGGCCGTCCAGCGGTATTTTCGGACGAAAGGTGCGAAAGACGTGTCCCGAGGGCTACATATATGTCGCGCTGTCACGGCTGTGACGGAGAGCGTGCCGAGTCGGAGCGTCTCAAGCAACCCAAGAACGAAAGCATATACGTATAAAAGGCACGAACAACCGAAAGAAATCCGCAAAGACGAAATATTGAAGCAAAAAGAAAGCAGAAAACACGAGTGTTACCTTGGCCTCTGTGACAATCTTCATAATTTATTCTAGACTAGGGGGGAAAGGCGTGTCTCGGGCGAATGAGAGAGGGCAGCTTGCCTACCTTTCATGCCCTTTTTTTTTTCGTCTGTGACGATGTCGTATAAACTTTGCGTTGGCACATCCTAAGACCGCATGCCGGCTCGACCGGGCAAACTTGCCCTTCCGCGCGTGTTTAAAGGGGCGGTGCAACGATTTTATGATTAAAATAATTTGCATCTCGTCATTTTTACGTTGTTTATCGTGTCCCGGAGAATAGAGAAAACACTTCCTTCATTAAAAATGTCGCGATTCCGCTGCTTAATCGCAAAGCAAAAGTCGAGCTTTTTCCCCCGCCTGCAGCCCCAAGTGGCAGCCGAAGGAACTGCGGCGGAAAGATTACGTGACCTCGCTCGGCTCTAAGCCGCAGCATAGTGCCCGCTAATGCACGCAGAGAGAGGGAGGGGAAGCGTCCTCCGAGATAGCAAAAGGGAAGCTACACGGCACTCCGAATGACGTCACTGGGAGTGCGGCCAGGTGTGACCCTGAAGGCTGGGAGTGAGTTGAGGGGTGCCCGAAATACCAATCTTTATCTTTTTTTTACGCAAAAACTAGGACACGCAGGCGAAATCGGTTTTCTGTTCTTTACTTCAGAAGTGTCTGGGGGCAACTTCCAGAAATCTTTGACTGAAGTCCGAAAATCATTGCACCGCCCCTTTAAGCTTAAAGTTCACATTGAGCGGATTCAAAAGAAGAGTGTGTGCACAGTTTAACATTTGACCTGTCGCACGGGTTGTCAGCAGACTCCCGCATTTCACATTCGTCTGCCGGAAAAAAGTAGAAAATAAAAGAAAACAGTAAAAAAGCTGCCACCCTACACAGCATCGACAGTTTCTGTGCCAACGAGGCTCTTCGGTTCGTCGGGGGACCTAATGCGTGAGTCCAAGACGCGACAGGCGCGTGTTGACAGGCAGCGCTGAGTCCACGGGTCGTCGTCACACCCCTCAGTGTTCGTTCCCCGCCCAGCCCGTCGAGCGCTCGACGGAAGAGCCGTTTACCCTCCCGCTCGCGGCATTGACCGAGTGTCAACAACAGGCGCCCGTGGACAGGCGTCCTCCCGCGGTTGGCGTGGGCGGTGTTCCTCGATAGAATCGAAGCCCAGAGTGGAGGACGCGGACTGCGGCCGACGGCTCGGCCTCGGAAGCGAAAAGCGGCGCCCGACCAGTCGTGTTGTTCTCCATGCACTCAAGTCGTTAGTTACACTTACATTCACCGTCGGCAATAAGCCATTTTCAGAAGTGCGTGGCATCTAGTAGCAGCTGCGCCGAATATTCGAGACCGCGTATTATTGGAGAGGAGGGCTGCATGAGCGTTTGGTGTCCATTCGGCTTAACTCGCTTTGAAGACGAGCGTCGTGCCTGTGCTCGGCGACGACTCGGATCCAACCCCACGTTTCGTGTTCAAGAAATGGCGACGGCCAGTGTTGCTTGATGGGGGTTTTGTAAAGGACATATTCGTTCGTCGAACTGCTTTCAACAGCAGCAGCAGCAGCGGCGGTCCGTCCTCTTTCTCGACATAAGGCGCCGTTAGCTTCCCGATTCACGGTGCTCTTGGGACCGTGGTCGGAACATCGGTTGAACTTGTCGGCTGGATGGAAAACGTGCGCCGATTTGGCCCGGTTCCGGTCGAACTCGGCGTTTTGTTCGGCGCTGTTTTCGCCGTGCCAAACGTCCGTTAATTGGTGATATGGTATGCGGGCGACATGACAGTTGGGGTTGTTCTACGAATCCGGACACGAATGCACGTTAAATATTCGAGAAAAAAAAGAAAAAAAGCCTCGTTATTTTATTAATGGCTGCTCCTTCTCCGAAGGTATTTCAGATGTTAGCACGAAAACCTTTTCTTGAGAATATTTTTATCGGCGATTGGGAGGAGGGTCCCATGCTGCGCGGCTTCGTGAGGTACTTGTCACGATAACGAACTCATATAAGAACGGCTGCCTTCGTTGTTTGAGTTCCTGACCGCCGAAAGCAGTTGAGCACGCTGCGTCCAAGACTCCCACGCACTCCGCTGGGGACCGTCATTGTTTGGTTTCAACATACGACAAACAGAACGCTCCGGCAAAGGCACAGGGCGCGGTCAAATTAATACCGTGTTCCAGCAAGTCTCGCACACGTTGCTTGAACGACAAAAACAAAAGAAAAAACTAATCGATTATAATTATCCTCAGTTAAAGGTATTCAATCAGGCTAGTCGAATACCTGAGAAACAAAGCAATTTGCCGTTACTTGGGAAAGTAGAAGCAGAGATTTTTCGTCTGTCCGAAGACGGGTATTTCGTATTCCCCATTATTTAATTAGAATCATCGAACTGTAAACTCTTCTCACTCTACCAGGGCGCCATAAAAAAGGGAAGAACAAAACAGTATCGGTTACAAGTTTAGTACTTCCAAGAGTTACTCTCGCGATTACTCGCTAATAAATATATTCAAATTATTGCAAAATTACTAAAGAAAAGTAATCGATAATTGTAATGTGATTAATCAGTACCGTGCAAGTGTGGTTCCAGCGAACGAACTTTCTGAAAGTAATTTGCAACGAAGGCTGCTTCAGATGCTCGAATATTTTGAGTGAAGGTGTCCGAGGTTCTCAGCTCCAAACCAGAAAAAGAGCTTTATTCCTCGCGGCCTCGGACAACACCACCTGACAAGGCCGTATACACCTTTGTCGACCCAGCCACCTGGTAGACATATCCGGTATGGACGACGAAAAAAAGAATAATAGATTTCAACCTGCAAATAGAAAAAAAAAAAAAAAAAGTGAGGCAAAACGGGAATGGGTGACGTTTGCGCCTATACCCCGCATGTCTTCATTGGCGTGGCGATTGCAGAAGAATGTTTTCGCCCCACACTGGAAGTGACAGCATTCGAGACGGCGACGCCCTCGTGGAAATGGGTTTTCTAACCCACATTGGCAGGAGGTCGGCGCGGGCCACAGAACGCACGCGAGTAGGGCGATCTGAACGAGCGTGCATGCGGCTGGATAGCCGGACACAAAGATTTCGCTTGCCTGTCAGATGAAGCTGAAAGGGAGGACATTCCGCGTCTTTACACGAGGGAAAGATTCGACCCTTTTCGCCCGGTGACGGCGCACGGTTACGTACGGAAGAGGTGCAAAGCCAGGCATTGCTCAGGTGGGAACCCAACTCTCTATCGCCACACTTCTGTGTGCCTTTTTATCGGTGGGTCGGTAGAATTGAAACACTCGAGCGTAGCTCGAAACGGGGCTGCGTCGGTGTCCCGGCACAAAGCGGAGAAATCAGTTTCAAAGGCGGTTTGGACCGTGCTTCCTTATTGATGTGTCATCGGCCTTCCACGATTGGCCAAATGCCCACCACGACGTCTTGAGTAGGATTAATTCTGCTCTTATCGACGGACATAAGAGCAAAGTCTCTCAACTCTGACGGTGTTAATTTAGGAACGTGGTGACCAAGCTGCCAGCGTACTTCGTCCACGCTTAATCGAACTTGTCGCTCGCTTCTTGCTTGTGGCGTCAGGAACAGGAACCATACGAGCGCGCATTTGCCACATCTCGTCGCCAGTAGCTTGCCAAAGTGACGGGCACTTATTTTCCATCGTTTTATTGCACGTGGCGAACATCGGCTTGCATTACCGCAAGTTCGAGCGAATAAAGTACGAGAGCGAGCAGAACGCTCGTAGCTCTGCTGATACACGCACTCGTACTCGTCGAAGTACGCTCCTGATATTTTCGGAAGTGCTACGTATCGGTTTTCCCCGTCGCGCACCTTTGAAAGCAGTGTAAAACCACTAGTAAAACATCGTATATAACCGGCTTGGTCCCTCGGCTTCTCGTGAGAGTTTCGTTGTGTCTGTGACACCTCAAATAAGCAAAAGAAAAAAAAAATCGGTTGTCCATGTTTGCAGAATGTTTATGCTCTCAGCTGGTTGGTGAAAGAAGCGAGAAGGGTCAAAAAGCGAAAGGGTCATAAAGGTGGCGGCCGTAAGAATAAAAGG